TAACTGCTACAGTGGTAGCCAGGAATCTTCTCACTCCAAAGGACAACAGAATCCTTTCAAACCGGTCTGATGAGGCGGCCGTTCAAGACTCATTGGCTCTCAGTGTTCAATGTGCGGGCTCTGTATCCAATATGGGACAGCGCCTACTTGCTCGAACTCACCAAGTTGAATCATTAATGGTTGAGGTGGCAAGTCTTAAACAAGAGATTAGAGGGCTCAAGCATGAGAATAGAGTGTTACACATGCTTTCAAATAATTACTCTACGAGCATGAAAAGAAAGCTCGATCAGCTACTGGAATCTGAAGGTCGGACTCAAAATGACAATCGGGGGTTCGAGTCTTTATTCCAAAGACATCCATTGTCTTAGCTGTCTGGAGTTCCACCAAGTATTGAGACTCCAAATAATCAACTTCTGGTGTTTTCCCCTTCTGGGGTACTTCCGAGTACTGAGGCTTCACATGAGTAACCTTTGTGAAGGTTCCCTTCTGTTTGTTTGTTTTAACTCATGTGTATGTAATTTCTCGGAGATATTAATATATAAGATTTATTTCATTCAGTGTATTGTGTTAAATACAATAAAGCATATATTTCACTAAGATGTGGTACTTCTGGACCAAATATCAATTTATCTTTACCCTCACGAAGATAAATGATTATTCTTAGTGTCTAAATCATTTGAGTATTCAACTCATAATCTTCAATCCATATGATTCTTTAATGTCATAAACATCATGGATAAGATTCGTGTTGGCATATTGTTCGATTCTGCAGTTCGAGACAATATTTCTCTCAACACTTTATAATCTTTCTTGACTCTTCAGGAGTCCCAATTTAATATCATCAACTCTTGCAAGAGATTTTAGTATGTTGCAACAATACCATAATGAAAATACTCACTAAGGCAATTTATACCATCCATTGGTATTGAGTACATATTTTATGCTTTACCCTTATGGGGTTTTCTTCAAGCAATTTGAATCCTTCAGGGATTTTCTACATTTCATGACACATTTTCCTTTAGAATTTATACAGAGCAATTCGCTTCCATGTATATTTGAGGGATTTACTCATGGAGATATGATGTGGGCGACTCATAACCCTTTGTATATAATTCTCCATTCATATGAACTCCTTTACAACCTTGTGTCATATCATGTGAGTGTATTTCACAGTATTACAAATGCCCATATGTAACCTTCTAGGTTCAACATCTTTTGGCTATTTGTATTGTATCCAAGTATATAAGTCTATTTTTTCCACGTTCTTACAAAATTGTAATGGAATTGCCTATTTCCATTTTTGGCCCATAATTTCGTTGATGGAAAAAGAACGGGACTCAATATCACCACAGCTCATTGATGAATTTAGTAGCTACTTGTAAGAACCAAAATTACCATTGGTTATCATCAATTTGTGATCCCATATTCTCATGTGCATGCGCATGCATAAAAACTTTTCATTTCTTTTGGGATATCCATTGCCTCTTCAAGGGCATTACACTATCTCTTCCAGGATAATTATAGTTTAGAGAATACAGATCATAACCTCCTTTTGAGCATTATAGAGCTTGGATTTTAATCTCCACTTCGGGAGTTAAGTCATTGGAACTTATACGTCTGTCATGCTTCATGCATGAGACATCAATATTCCCATATCCGCGGATTAACCTTTTCGGGACAAGAATCCTTGCGGCAACTGTTATGCGTTTGGCATGTGACAGTTATGCAATAGTTCAGTAGTGCCATATTCTTCTTCTTTCGAAGGACTGAACTTTTTGAGTCTGAGGATCTGCCACGCTTCAGGCGTGCAACAGATAAATCATTTGCTGCCATATTATTTTGTTCAATAGGGACATTAATTCTTGTAGGCACACTTGCAGCAAGTATATGTGATTTTATCATTTTCGTTGCATCATTAAATGCATCTGGCATTTGATTTGCATATCGTTGTATCATTCAATTATTCTCACTTTGTTTTGTATATTGATTGCTTCATGAATCAAAATACGACAAATTCTCTTCGTTCTTCTGGAACGGTTTTTTCTCATCATTCTTCTGGAATGATATTTGCTCATCGTTCTTCTGAAACAAAGTTATTTTCTCCCCCTAACGGCAAGAAAAATTGTCTTATCAAAATGACAGTCCGCAAACCACGCGGTAAATGTATCCCCAATCAAGGGTTTTAAATATTGAATGATAGATGATGTTTAACATCAATGCCTAATCCGCAATGATGCTTCATTTCAGTATGTTGTGGCAGTGCAATAGGCACATAGATAACCAAAAACTCGTAAATATATAATGTTTGGCTGGTTCCCAAACACGAGTTGTACTGAGAAGTATTGATGGTTGTCAACAGGTCTCAACCAAATCAATAATGCATCATGTAAAATGACATGTACCCATGTAAAAACGGGCAATTTTATTTTCGTGAGCAGAGCGCGGGTAATCTATTTCATCCGCTTAATAAATGCTTCTGCTAAACCATTTTTGAGTATGGACATAAGGAACTTCTGGTCCTTATTTAATAGTCTTACAAACCGAGATTCTTATGGCTTTTTTATTGCAATTAAGTTGAGGCACTGTGGCACTTCAAACTTAAGATACTTATCAAGGAACTTTATGTCCTAATCTTGAGGATCAAGGGACTTTATGCCCGATCTTTTTGTTTGATGGAACTTCAGGTCCAATCATTTTTATATGATGAGGATCAAGAAACTGCAGGTTCTGATCTGATCAAGGAACTTCGGGTCCAGTATGTACTCATCGTAACAAAAAGAAGTACAATAAATAAATTAAAGCAATAGGCGGTAATTTCAGCCATAATGAATAAATTGCATTTAAGTAAATAAAGCTTGTGACAAGGGCTTTAATTCAGCACCATTCACATAAATCAAAACTTAAAGCAGTAGGCGGTAAAACCGTCCATGATAAATAAATTACTTTAAAGTAAATAGAACTTGTGAAAGGGTTTTAAACCAACACAAATTCACATAAATAACAAGAAGTATCATACCTCATTTTATTTATTATTTTTCTTTCTTTTGTCAGTACTTATTCAAACTTTACTTTTCTTATTTCTGTAGCATGGTGCCATGCACCAACAGAAACCATTTATATCATTTTGACTAAATGGTGTCATGCACCATTCTGCACCATTCAAATCCTTTATATATATATATATATAATTTTTTCTTATGTTGCAGTCAACATCCCTTTTTTTCTTCTTTCTCTGTCTCTGCCAGTCTCAAAACGCAGGGCCAGCTGGGTAGTTATGGAAGTTGCCCAAATTCAATTCAATCCAAAAGGCTACAAGAGACTGGCGTTGTTCTTGCATGACCCAGGGAACATGTCATCGTTAAGCAAGAACTTCCTTACAGAGACATAGATGACAGTGGGGTTGACAGAGGCACAAGAGAGGGAGGCCTGTGTGGATTCATTCTTGCCATCACCATCTCAAACAACCAAGTATTCATGGGAGTTCTCAAGATTCGTTGAAAACAACGTGATCTGGGTTTCCAAGTCTGATGAGATTCTTCTGGATCTCTGGAAACCAGTTGTCAAGTACGAGTTTTCTCATCTCGTGACGACTTCAGGTCGTAAATTTCAATTCTCACCGGAATTCGGTGGGGCGCTTTTGGCGCAGTGGGAGAGACGAAAAATGGACATACCTTTTATTCTGTGAGATTTTAGATGACGGAGGTGAGAGGTGGATAGTGCTTCATCGGATTTATGGCGTTGTGCTTTCCACTAACATGAGAGCTTTTCGTGCTGATAACGTGTTGTAAAATCGACAATGTGTGTACAGTGGAATAAATAAAACAAAACACAAAATTTACGAGGTTCCTCTACAGTCAGTGTGACTGGAGTACGTCCTCGGGCAGCAGTGATGCTTTCATTATAATTTGGAATAATAGGAGTACAAAGAAAACTCTATGTATTCTCTTCTCTCCTCTTCCTCTCTTTCTTTTTTCTGCTCTGTCTTCGAAGCATACGGAGTGCTCTATTTATAGAGCAACTCCAAGCACACATCTTTGACAAATGATCTCCACATATCAATATTTTGCCAAGGTTTTCAACTCTTTGGCAACGTTTTCAATGTTGTGGCAGGTATTCAATACTGTGGGCATTCATTACCCACTAGTATTTTCAACAATAGTGACTTTTTAAACTAAACATTATCTTAATACACCATATTTACTTACCCAAATTACCCTCCGACACCACTTTCTATCATACTAGAGCATATCCGAGGAGAAACCAATTTCAAAACAAGAATTGCAACTCTTAAATTGTGACTCTCAGGAGGCAATGCACTAAGAAGCTGCTCATCTCAGGGCCTCCTTAAAACCCTTTCTTTGAGAGAAGCAGCTTCTGGGAAGAAAAATTGAGGATTGTCTTTTTTGTATGCATGAATGCTCCATTAACATTGTCTAATAATACATAGTGCTTGCAACAACCCCAAATTTTATGTCACCATTTTTTACAGCACCCCACATATTCAAACACCAAAATTTCTCAAAAATTAAACAGGTTTTTTAATCAACTTGAACAAAACCCGGATGAAATTGTTGGCAAATTTTCAGGGTGAATAGAATAACCCAAAAATCAAAATGATGAAAGAAATAAGAATTAGGGCATGTAAGTCATTTCATATTAGAGTATACAAGACATTTGATATTTAAATTTTATGTGGCGTGTATTCATCAATATATGAGGTGCCAATAAAACAACCGTTTTATTGAGCAATGGTCCTCAATTTATGAGTCAATTGAAACATTGATTTTTAAATTAAAAATTCATTAAATTTGGTCCTGAATTTAACAAAATATTGAGCAATGGTCCTTAGCCTAACTCCGTTTATTTTCCATACATATTCTGATTGCGTGGCATGTGCGTGGTGGGGCCCACAATGATATTTTTTCCATTTTTAATTACATAATTAACCTTCTAAATCTTTTTTGAACAAACCTTCTAAATCTTTTTGAAGAAAAAGAAAATCAACCCAGCAGGCGCTCCATATATAACCATAGCTCGTTGGGTTGGGGGAGGAGAAGCAGGTTATTGAGAATTTCCCTACTATGATGACTTTTAAATTTCTCCAACTTACTTTTCCATTCACTTATGCTTGTCCCAGATAGATAAGAACCTAAAATTTCAAGTGCTAGTGGCAAACCTCCACAGTAATCAACAACTTCTCTTGGGACTTGAAGAAATTCTTTAATAGGATAATTGTTGGCATGCCAACAAAGGAGCTCAGAAGCTTCTTCTTTATTCATTGCTGGTAGATGATATATCGTATTCGCTTTTAACATCTTTAGCAAATGTTGGTCTCTTGTGGTTATAATAATTCTACTCCCTGGACCAAATGAGTAAAATTTTATAGCTAATGCTTCTAACTGTTTCACGCTGTCTACATCATCAACTATGACAAGTACCTTTAGGTTGCGAAGTCTTGTTTTTATTTCCTCGGTCGCTTCATCAACTCTACGAACCTTTATGTTTCTTAATCTCAACACATCAGAAAGAAGTTTGTTTTGCAAATCGACCAGTTCCTCTTCTCTCACATTAGCAAGAAAACTTTTACGTACAAACTTATCCTGATATTTGTTGAAAATGGCTTTGGCAACCGTCGTTTTACCCAGTCCACCCATACCCCAAATTCCAATTATGCGGACATCATCTGATCCTCCATCAGCCAAATATTTACCAATTTCTTGCACCCGAGAATCTATTCCAACTGGGTTTGGGGCTACGGTCATGTATGTGTTCTTCAGTTTTCTAGTGATCTCGTCAACAATTTGCTCGACAAACCTTCCTTCATACCTGGTAGTAAAATTTCAAAAAAAAAAAAAAAATGGAAAAGACCATATTAGTCTTTTCTTTAGTTGTGGCTTTTAGAACAAAATTGTAGAAGACAACACCCCAAAAATATCTAAAAGAGACAAAGTACCAATAGATAAAAGTCTATATATGTGTGCTGCTTGAAAGCAGAAAGAGTGGACGAGTGTGAGTAGAAGAGAACAGAAAACACCAATAGATTGTGCAACGGAAATGGAATCAAGTTAGGACTCTAGTGAAAGAGCATAAATCTGAATTTCATGACGACCAAGCGAGTATTAGAAGAGAACACCACGAGGAGAGTGTGCAAAAGATCAAACCATCACAAAGAAGCGGAGAAAAGCCCTATCTTGCGAAGAGTGATCAGAACTTGTAATCGAAACAGTTCTGAGTCACAGAGATGAAAACACAGGGAGGGACTACTTGAATCAAAGATGATCAAGTAAGATCTCCATGAGATTAAGTCCTGTCACAAGGATTTCGAAGTAAGATCCGACATGGGACTACTTGAGAAAAAGATGATCAAGAAGAAATACAAGCAGAGATCAAACTTGTACATAGAGAGGGAGGTCTCTCATATATGCCACAAAAATTATTTGTTCAAGTAAGAATGTAGATGAAATGTTTGTTTGCTAAATGCCTTTGAATATTGTTCTGTTTCTTGTATGCCTATCTTTTCCTACTATTTGTCATTCAAATATATGGAAAGTGTGTGAGAAACAAAGGCCTAATCTTCAAAAGCCTAATCATGTATTATTCACACTACACAACAATGGTGAGATAAAGCCTCAACCTATCTAAAACTCAACAAATCATGACCCTACCTGGAATGTATCCCAGACAACGTAACTCAGGTTCCCAAGGGCTATGAAATATGTTATGAGCGTGGGGTGAGGTATGCTGAAATGATTAATTGTTGTAACTGCCAGTGAGCTTGACGTAATTGAGTTTGAGCAATCTCTGACTCTGCATGTTTCTAAATGCTTCTGTACTGAAGCCTAGCCTCATCCGACTCTTGCAAATCTAAAGTGAGTCCTTGAACTGCTTCAATTCCCTATTGAAAGAAAAAAAAAAAAAAAAAGGAACTGAGAAAAAGGTTATCGACATGTGAAAAGGTGATTTATACATAAACTATTTGAAGCAAAATCATGCATTGGATGTACGAATTACAAGAGATGTAGACAACCTATCAGTTGTTAAGGTACCTGTGGATTAAAGCCAAAGTTGCGTTTTACAATTATCCAATTTAGTTAGGTATCTTAATAAGCATCTACTACATGTGTTATATTTTACCTCTTGTATCTAAGAAGAGCATAACCTATATGATATATAATTCTGTTATTTAATTTGAAATAATTCAATACAATTGGTTGTCTGATAACCAAGCAGTCACTCCTAAGAATACTAATAGGTAGTGATCATCCATCACGGATTAAACCAAGCATGATCACTCCTAAGTACATAGGACCATACCTAAGTAATAAGGATCGTCCACCGCGGATTAACAGATTCTGCACATTAATAATGTAAGGCATTCTTATGATGAACAGTAAAGGAAAAATGACGCCTCTATTGTGGATGCAGAATGTTGCAGATCCAATAATGATTTCAAATTGGAACTATTGAAAGTTTTGTGCAATGAAGATTGTTTTTATTTTTATTTTTACCATATTCCAAACTACTCTAATTCACTGGAAGGGAGGTTCGAACTTGGTGCAAGGCGTGTGCACATTGCCTTGGCCAACTAGCCTAATGCACATGTTGTGCAATGACAACTTAAAACAATATGTAGATGCAAACAAGATTAAGAAGAATGCAAGGATGGAGAAACACGCTCAAGAAAATGCAACAAGCTAGTTTTGGATATCTGTAAGCAACTGGACAGCGCTTTGAGTGAAGAGAGGTTTTGAGTTTTTAAGTTTTTAGGACAGTTGATTTCTTTCCTTGTTCCCAACCACTTCAGAACTAACAAGTTAACCAAACTAAATAAGCCTATTCTTTCCTTGGCATTAACATTGTTAAAATTTTTACATTTTCACTTCTTACATACGAAAGGGAAATATATACTATACAGTGTATGACTACCAAAAGGACCAATGGCTCGAGTTCGGTTTATGTACCTTTTTCTTCTTCTGTTAGCCCACGCTGCTTCCTTCTTGCATGATTTCATCAGTTTCTTCTTCTGCATTTCTTTCAACACTGGATCGGACCTCAGTCTTCTGCAGGATTGATTCTCATGGGACGAGTCATCACTGTGTCCTGTCTTATGATTGCCGTCCTCTTTGTACTCACTTGAATATGGCATAGATTGACAGTCGAGTGCATATTCATGGATTAATTTTTCCTTTTCCAGATTGATCCCTATTTTAATCTTCCTGAAATGAATATCATCAGTAGCAGCTGGTTCTACAAAGTATGCACCAACATATATCTTGTCTCCGCCTTTGACATTGAGCTTAATGTTTGAAAAATGTCCCAGCCAAAGATAATCTGGGATTTTATTACTTTGACACACATTGGAGAGATGAGAAATTCCGCGTTCTGAGTAAAATTTGCAACACGAATGTGAAGAGATACACCAGATTGGGAGTTGTCTGAAGAATAAATGATGCACACAGTCAATGCTTTTAAATCACAGCCAAAACTTTGTGGCACATCTATTTCACCCTGAGGGTCGACAAGCGTAAACCATGATGGAAGTTCATTTCCAGGGAGAAAAAGGGCACCATTTCCGCTCGCACTCCATCCCTATACCATGGAGAAAGATAGGTACCAAAAAGGATTACCAGCATGTACGTAGAGAGAGAGAGAGAGAGAGAGAGAGCCTTTACCCTTTGGATTGATTCCTTAAAAGCAGCAGTGAGATTGGTGCACCCTTCCATATGAAGAATTGTCAGGTTGGCAATTGAATTTTATAATTAAGGAATTAAAAAGGAAAAGGAAGTAAGTAATCACCCATCAGTCGCACTAAAATCCTCGCCGCCCAACTCTGCAGCTTCATTAAGAGCATCTTTCCAGGTCTGCACCATTTCAGGGGAGCGCTTTTGATGTTCCCGGAATGCTTCCTCAAAAGCACCCCTCTGATGCCTGACATCGGAGGGATCGATGTCATAGAAAATTGGCAAAACCATTTGCCCCATTATTCTTCTGCAGGCCAAGATCTCGACCAGCTCATCAAGACACCATCTCGACTCGGCATACCCGCTTGAGAAGATGACAGCAGCAAGCCTAGAGTCTTTGACTGCTTGCTTCAGTGCTTGTGTGATAATTTCGCCTCTGGTCAATTCGTTCTCGTCGATAAAGACGTTGAATCTGTGGTCTTTCAATGTGCAGTAGAGGTTGTTCGTCAATTCCTTGCGCGTTTAGCCTACATTTTGAGGAGGAGGAGGCCATCTTTATCAGTAATTGCGACGATTCTCAATTTCTTGGCACTTTCTCTATTGTGTGGGTCTATAGTATTTAATCAAGATTTGAAGTGATTCTATTATATTAGAATTTTAAGATAGTTTATTAAAATCTTTAGAAATACTGGTGTATTCAATTAGGATTTTAAAAAATTTGAGAAAGTTGAGGAATTAGAGAGGATTAAAGAGATTTTATAGTGTATTTTAAGCATCCATAAATCTCACATCTCTCATGAGATTTCGAATGAATTGAATGAAAATTTTATATGGAATCTCTATAAATAAATTAAACTTCATAAAAATTCATAAATTTATAAATTCATTTAACTCTTTAAAATTCTCAAATACAACCCCTTAATTTCATGCGCATATTATGGGAGGAATGAATACAAGCTCTTGGCAACCGTCGAGATTGAACTTTGAATTTCGGCATGATACCAATTGTTCTGGTGAAGCATTTGTTGTTGTGACCAAGTATTCAATTTAATTTTTTTTTTATTCGAGAGAACTTTGAATTTCTGCATGGTACCGAATTTGTACTTAAAATTGTCGAAGGGAGAAAACTTATCTAGCCAACTTGGCTACACCAAATATACAGCCAGTACTCAATTCTTATGTGGCATGTGCATATTTCTTTTTTTCTTTTTTTTTTATATATACATTTTTTTTCTACATTTCAGAAACAAGTCTTACATGAAATTTACTAGTTCCAACTTATAGGCCACCATATCAAAGAAGAGGAAAATTGCATCCGAAAAGCTAGCATGTTTTGAAGATAACCAAAAATAAAAAAAAAAGAAGGAAAATAAGTATTAATTAAAGAGAACATTATAACTTCTTACATACAAAAGGGAAATATGTAGTATAGCATGAGTCCCAAAAGTACTAATGGCTCGAGTTCAGTTTATGAACCTTTTTCTTCTTCGGTTAGCCCATGCTGCTTCCTTCTTGCATGAATTCATCAGTTTCTTCCGCATTTCTTTCAACACTGGGATCCAACCTGAGTCTTTTGCGGGATTGATTCTCATGGGACGAGTCATAACCGTGTCCTGCCTTATGATTGCCGTCCTCTTTGCACTCACTTGAATATGGCATAAATTGACGGCCGAGCGCATATTCATTGATTAATTTTTCCTTTTCCAGATTTATCCCTATTTTCTTCACCCTGAGATGAATATCATCAGTAGTCCCTGGTCCTACAAAGTGTGCACCAACATTTATCTTGTCTCCGCCTTTCACATTGAGCTTATTGTTTGACAAATGTCCCAGCCAAAGATAATTTTCATGGCAAGTTAATACAGTGGCACGCATTGGAGAGATGAGAAATACAGTGTTCTGGCTATAATTTGCAACACGAATGCGAAGAGAGCCACCAGATTTGGAGTCGTCTGAAGAATAAATGATGCACACAGTCAATGCTTTTAAATCACAGCCAAAACTTTGCGGCACCGCTATTTCACCCTGAGGGTCAACAGGCGTAAACCATGATGGAATTTCATTTCCAGGAAGAAAAAGGCCACCATTTCCGCTTGTACTCCATCCCTATACCATGGAGAAAGACAGGTACAATAAAGGATGACCAGCATGTAAGAAAGAGAGAGAGAGAGAGAGAGAGAGAGAGAGAGGACCTGTAGGATCCCTTCTTTAAAAGAAGCAGTGAGATTGGTGCACCCTTCCATATGAATACTTGTCATGCAGTTTAATGGCTTATCCAAGCCTAGAATTTCAGAGAGTTTGGGGGAGTGATTCAGATGCAATTCTCTCATCCTTGACATTTCTGAAAAATCGGGCATTTTCTCCAATGCAATGCACTCATCCGCTTCCAGGATTTCCAAATTTGTTGGTAAAGCTGGAATTGCCTGAAGGTTTTTGCAATCTTTGAGTATCAATCTCTCAAGATTTGGGGTTTTTGAAAAGTCCGGTGATCGTGTTAGGTTATGGGAATGACTTAAATTAAGAAACTTCAACTTCTCAAGCAACTGTCAGATAAAAGGAAAAATATTCAAATTCAAATAGAAGACAGAAAGCATGATGTTTACAAAACCTAGAGGAATGAATTAATAATTGGTTATAGCCATAACATACCAGAACGGAATCCGCCCACACTCGTGTGAGTTTGCTATAGCTGAGGTCAATAACAACTATGTTTGGGTGATCAAAATCTTCTGGTATGACCTCCAGGGGGAATCCATGCCAACACAACCATCTTAACTCATTGGGCAGATTGTTGTAACTGCCAGTGAGCTTGACGTAATTGAGTTTGAGCAATCTCAGACTATGCATGTTTCTAAATGCTTCTGTACTGAAGCTAGTCTCGTCAGACTCTTGCAAATCTAAAGTGAGTCCTTGAATTGCTTCAGTTCCCTATTGAGAGAGAGCGAGAGACAGGAGAGAGGGGGTGTGGGGTGGGTGGGAGGAAACTGAGTAAGAAAAAGGCTATCTGCATGTGGAAAGATGATTTATACACATGAAGTAAAACCATGCATTGAATGTATGAATTACAAGAGAGGTAGACAACCTATGACCTGCCGCGGTACCTTTGAGTAGGACATATAATTTGTGCTCAGACATCCGTTGTGCCGTGTCCAAATTTGTTAGGTATCTTAGCATCTGCTACAGGGTTTTTTACCTCTTGTATCTAAGAGCAGAACATATATGATACATGATTCTGTTATTTAATTTGAGATAATTCAATGCACTAGGTTCCTTCCATGTCTCCTACACTTTCCTTTCTATGCTCTGTTCCTCTTTTCATTCAACCTGTAGTATATATGGGTGTCTTTCCAATCAACTCATTGTTTTGTATACTATTGAAACATCCAACTTATACAATTTATTAGATGTGTGTGATATGCATATTTAGTAAGTGCATGCGTTTGACAGAAAATTTGATTGCGGAATTACTTACAGATTTGTCCCTCAGTACGTCTATCACATCATCGTGATGCCATAACCTACTGCGTTTTCCAGGGACATCAGGGGATTCCGCATGCACAATATATCTTCCCATGTCGCGAACCAAATCATGCATCACCAGCGTCAAATCTTCATTAGTAGTTACAAGGCATCGTTCGTGGAGGACACTGATTCTGATTTCTGGATATAAGTCACAGCCATCCAATATTTTCATGACATAGTCCTTGTTCATTCCAGCAAAGAAACATGATACATCAAGGAATATAGCCTTCAGGTCATCATCAGCTAGCTCGTCAAAGCTTATTTCAAGTCTATTGAGAATTTCCCTACTATGATGACTTTTAAATTTCTCCAACTTACTTTTCCATTCACTTATGCTTGTCCCAGATAGATAAGAACCTAAAATTTCAAGTGCTAGTGGCAAACCTCCACAGTAATCAACAACTTCTCTTGGGACTTGAAGAAATTCTTTAATAGGATAATTGTTGGCATGCCAACAAAGGAGCTCAGAAGCTTCTTCTTTATTCATTGCTGGTAGATGATATATCGTATTCGCTTTTAACATCTTTAGCAAATGTTGGTCTCTTGTGGTTATAATAATTCTACTCCCTGGACCAAATGAGTAAAATTTTATAGCTAATGCTTCTAACTGTTTCACGCTGTCTACATCATCAACTATGACAAGTACCTTTAGGTTGCGAAGTCTTGTTTTTATTTCCTCGGTCGCTTCATCAACTCTACGAACCTTTATGTTTCTTAATCTCAACACATCAGAAAGAAGTTTGTTTTGCAAATCGACCAGTTCCTCTTCTCTCACATTAGCAAGAAAACTTTTACGTACAAACTTATCCTGATATTTGTTGAAAATGGCTTTGGCAACCGTCGTTTTACCCAGTCCACCCATACCCCAAATTCCAATTATGCGGACATCATCTGATCCTCCATCAGCCAAATATTTACCAATTTCTTGCACCCGAGAATCTATTCCAACTGCAGGCACCCAAGACTGTATTCCAACTGCAGTGCTCTGCTGCAAGACTTTGATGATACCTACGACAATTTCCATGATATACAGAGCATCATACCTGGTTGTCAAAAGTCCAAATGAAGCAAAAGTTAGATTTATTATACAAAACTGCAACATTAAGATGTGGATGTGTTCGTTCAACTATAACTATTCAGCATTTGACGAGCCAAAGCCACCAAATACCATCAAATTTTGATATCTAACCATTTCGAATTTTACTGAGGGGCCATTTAGAATTGCTTATGTAGGAAGCAATCTGTTCATGAACAGAAGTGCTTTCAGTCGACATATGTTAACATTTGCACTAAAAATTCATGTTCCCGGAAAAGCATCTGACATGGACTTCCCTAGAAACCGCTTCTACGACTCAAAAATACTTCTAACTTTTCGCCAAAAGCATTTTAGCGGCTCGGCCGATTTCTCAAGATTCCCGACTATTCCATTTTCTGATGTTAGCAATGTGTAGCGGTCAAATAGGACCATTTTCTTCTTAAGGCCTTTTACTTTTTTTCGTCATGTGGGAGTTAGAATTAATTCCAGTTTATCTACTTCTATCCATGTGGGGGGTAATTCCAGTTTATCTACTTCTATCCATGTGGGGGGAAAGAAACGTTTGTATTCAGCTACAAAATTTATCCCTTCGAAGAAATCCCAAACAAGCATCATTCTATTGTTTCTTGATACGGTTTTTACATATAAATGTTTTTAAATATGTAAAAAATTGGATTGGGAATTTAAAAGCCAGACAAAATAAAAAAAGGAAATAAGAAAGTAACTTATTTACCAATCGGCGTTTCCAACATCAAAACCAGATAAATTTGCTGCTTCGGTCAGAGCGTCTCTCCATAGCTGTAACTTTTCTTTGACCTCATCGAACTGCTGTTCGTGCTTCAGAAAAGCTGTTGCAAAAGTGCCGGTCTGTCTCCTGACATCTGAAGGATCGACATCATAGAACACTGGAACAACAATTTGACCCAGTGTTCTTCTGCACTCCATGATCTCCACAAGCTCGTCAAGACACAATCTTGATTCCGCATAGCTCTTTGAGAAGATGATGTTAGAGGTTTTAGACTCTTCGATTGCTCGAGTCAGTGAGATGCCCGGACTTTTCCCTTTTTCTAGCGCGTGATCGTCTATAAAGGTTCTTAGTCCGGCCCTTGTCAAAGCCTGGTAGAGGTGGCTCGTGAAGCTCCGGCGTGTGTCTTGACCTCCAAAACTCAAGAACACGTCGTACTTCCAAAGTTTTAAGGAGGAAGACGAGGACGTCGAGGTATCCATCGGAACAATTGTTTGTTGCTGCACTTGTGTTTGGTCTGCTCTGATTATTTTTCTTGGCAGAGGTTTTTGTGTTTGCATAGATGAAGAATACTTTCAGATCTGTGATCTATGTACAAAGACCACACAATACAGGAAGGTAAAGTCGGTCCGCTAAAGTCCATTAACTCCTTTTTTTTTTAAGGGAAAATTAGGAGGAACTCCTCCACGCATTAGAAAGGTAACTAGCAACGGTGCCCGCGCGTTGCTGCGGGATTGGAAATGTATTCAAAGTTATGCAAATTCATTCACTTCATAAGCAATGTTTGAGTGAAGAACCGAGCATTACAAATAAAAAGTAGAATGAAAATTTAACTTGACAAAGAGACCTCAATGATTTAGCTCAATTCATCATTCAAGACTTTGTCAAACTATGATTCGCTCACTCTATCCCTAAACAAAAGAAAACCAAACCAAGTTCAGCAAGAATTATGCACGATCCTTGTGAAACTATATAATGAATGATACAACATTGTTAAACAAACATGGACCGGAGCTGATCTTAAAATTCACTTAAAAGAGAAATGGCAAATACAGTTCACTTCAGATGCTAACTTAATGTTTCATCATTCAAATGATATTGCTTTTGAACCAAAGTATGTGGAAAAAAGAGTGGAAGCCTGATTAGCAATTACCACTTCCAGCGGTACCGTGCTGCTAAGTTTTACTCTTCAAATCTCCAACAAATAAGCTCCTCTGTAATTTCTACCTGAGCACTAAACTAAAAAAAATTGGTACATAGACGAAGAGTTAAGACTACCTACCATAAATCAATTAAGAACTACAATGATGTGACAATCCGCATGTATAACCTATGCGTCCATCGTTATAGGTTTAATAAAAATACCATTATTTTAAAATCATGGATGATTCAATTTTAACCTTAAAATCGAGACCATCTCCAGTTCTTGGCAAATCAAATTTCAATAAATAGCCACATGTGAAATAAACAAAAAGAAACAGATATCAGAGAATAATAGCTTACCATCAACATAGATCATGCTACTGTCTTTGGAGGTTTGGAGGCTTTTTTTTATGTTTGTATACTATTAAAAACAAAAAACATATGTTAGTAAAAAGCAAATAGCATTGACAACTGATTTGAAAAACAAACTGAAACATGAAAAGAAGGAAAGAAAAAAAAAAAAAAAAAAAAGGGAGTGCCTTCTAAAGCTTTTATTTCTCCTGTCAAATGAAATTGATAGTGTATCAGATCTTTGTGTTTTTCCCTGATATAGGATGTACTGTTATTCACTAAGACAAAGATCCAACCTTGACAACCATTAAATGACTCTGCCTGACCATTTTGTTATCATGGGTAATCTCTATCAGAAACATTCTATTCATCTTTTTATTTCAACATAATTTTAACACGTATTGGTCTATAATGTGATTTGTCTTCTTTTCAGTGGACATCTGATTAGAGTTATAGAGTGTTCCTTCTTTTTTTATTTCACATATAATACAGGGATTGATCACGACATCTAGCAACTGATAATACATGCATGCTCTAACCCAAGAATAAAATAAGAACATACAGTATTGTGAGCTGCAGAGCCACCATACTGCTGCGCAAGATGCTCTGGTACAAATCCATTCAAGCTGCACCAATCGTGCTATCAGGATGACACAACAATAATTATTCAAAGATTAGAAACAAATTATATAAGGTTTATTATTTACTTTAATCATTTTATTTTCATCTTGACCGAATTATTTTCCCTAAATTACCAGCGACAATTGCCTCTTTTGTAGAGAAACGGATTTTCTACTTGTCTTGACATCATTCCGACTTCTAATTAGAGTAAAACTCAAAGACAAACAGAGACATGCTTATTTTCGTTCACGAAACTATCCAGAGGGGTGATAAGAGAAACTTTGCAAGTTAAATCACACATGGTTTCTAGTTCACATAACTAAAAATTATTGTACACAACCATGAACATTAAAAGAGATTAGCTTCTTAAACCGGTTGTATTTTTATATTTTCATTTTCATGTACCAGTAAGGAAACGATAATATATTCCAAAATTAGCAGGTTACAGAGAAATATAAATATTGTGTTCAAGGAATTAATATGATTGCAAATGTAATAGTTCCATATATAGTGAGGTTGGAGAAATGATGGAAGGCGCACTGAGATTTGAGGTCCATAGGTTGAGAAGAGTCCATGGCACTCATCCATATATGCATATTTTGCACAGATCTACAGTTCAAGTTTTTAAACAAAGAATCAATTTATCAGCAATTGCGACATTCATTATTTGCAAAAAAGTTATTGATTCACATATAAACAAATGAAAGCAGTTGAAAAAAAAAGGCTTACCACAGGCTGGCTGAATCCGGAGTTCGAAATGACTGCGGATTTGAAAATTGTATTAAATATTGTGTTTGAAAGATGTAAAAATGGTATCACAAAACATTAACATTATTGAGAACAGAGAGGTTAGAAAACAGAATGAAACAGTTGGTATTTGGCGGCGAAACTTAAAAACCAAAAATGCACTTTAACGTCCTAGAGAGAACAGGATTGTAAGCAAAACGTAGAATAGTGAAAGAATATTGTGATAGTCACGAAATAAGTTCATGGGTTTGCTAATATTGATTTATTAGGTTTCAAGTTTGTCTCAATTTATCATTTTCTGTTAAAGTGAAAGTATAAACGTTTAGGTGCTCACCAAGAAAAAAGCAATTGATTGATGCTAAATACAAAACCGGCTGACCTTGAAATATAAACCAGAGAAACTAATTGAAATAATCAAATCCCAAATTCAATTTCAAAGGTATATAAGAGTATGCAAAGGTGTGGCATATGACTACAGACCATAGTGAAGCTACTTTTATAGTTATTTACTTCTTTACATGATAATCAAGGTCTAGCTAAGCTTCTATACCTTTTTAGTAGGAATCAACTCTACTTCCAAGGTATCCACCCGACAAATAACAGCATTCGGCAATTCCAAAGGGAGTCCTCCCACAAAATCCTTAAAACAACTCAATCAAAATGAACGTAGACTGAAAGTCAAAAGTAAAATCAAAATGAATGTAGAATCAAAATAAAACACTGGATTTGACACTATAGAGTCTAAAAACTGAAAGGGTTAAAATAGTCCAACTTCGAACTGATTACCTGAGTATAGGTTGAGCAGTGAAATCTGTGAAGTGTAAGATTGTGAATTTAGGACAATAAATTGTGTACCAGTATACCACTCAAATAGAAGGAGATCGAAAGCGAAAAAAAAAGAAAGAAAGAAAAAACAGTCAGTAACAAAACTGACCCAGCAAAATTGTTAATATATTACAAACTAAATATTTCAACAAATTATATATACCTTCAGCAAAACCCCAAAATAAGAACACCAGCATTTGCTGAAAGCAAAAAAAGAACGAAATCAGATAGCCACACACAGCATCCGAGCACATTAACAAAACCCCCAAAATTATAAAAAGAAAATTTAAACACAAAATCCATCTGTAAATCGAAAACAACCTATTTACAACAGCACTTACTTGATTTGTTGCGTGAGCGCTCTTAGGAGCTTTATCAGAGTGCTCCAACCCAAGGTACTGCTCTCATGCACCATCAACATCTCTTCTCTGAGGAAAACAAAGGCCATAACAACGGAATTAAAAAATTCAGACACACTAAGAAAGACGAAAAACTCACCAGGAGACTCTAGTTTATGTGGGTAAGAAGTGGATTTCGATCAAATTAAGAAAAAAGGTAAAAAAGCTTGACCTGAAATCCAAAACCAAATCTTCAATTGCAATGAAACAAAGGGCTTATTAGTCATTTGAAAGCTGTTCTATAAGAAGCACTTATACTTTCAAGCGCTTTTGCTAGAAATGTTTTTACTTAAAACATGTTTGAAGTTTCTATCAAGGTCCAAATGCTCCCTTAAAAATACATAGAAGTGCTTCTTGAAGCATCTGACATTAACAGAACAGAAACTGAAAAATGAAAAGCAAGTGACTTGTACATGAAATTATGTTCACTCCAAAAACTAAACTATTCAACTTCAAAACGCAGGAAAAATGAATGTTTTGATAGAAATTTCAAATGGGATAATTAAACTACAAAAACATAATTATAATGCGTGCATCCGTACCTGGCAATCAAGAAGGCAAGAAAGAAGCTGTTGCAAAGCAGGTAATTGACTTAGTAAATCTGTGCTATCAAGAGACAAAAATCAGAGCATGCTAAACTTTTTTGTGTGCATTGGTTCATTGTTAAATAAATAAAAAAATAAAAAAAAATATTGCAGAGGAGATTTTTTACCTAATTTTTCAGAAATGATGGTGGAGCTGCAGCTGCTGCAGTCTTATTCTGTGGAGTTTTTCATGTTATAATCTCAAGTAGAATAAACTTACATACAGTTGTTATAAAACAACATTTGTATAACACTTATACCAAGATTTACTCACATTCTTAGTTGTGAGTTATTGATTTGGTATTTTTAATCAATTTTTGCATACAATTAATAATATAGATTGTAGATTTACACTCGTTGTTCTTTCCTAAATTTCTATTCTCAGTTCTTTATTTATTATTAATTCATATATAAAAAAAAAATTCTTTTTTAAAATGAAAATAAGGCGGATAATGCAGTAAATAACATGTTCACTGGGGTAGGAAAACTAAAATCAAATAAGTTACACAATGCATCAACAAATACAATAAATCTAATTATCCATGAGTTCCAAAAAAACTAAAGCCTGTAACAATGCTGAAAAGCATACTATGTATTTAATCAGATCACAAACAATCCCATGGTATGTCACAATATCATGAGGGCATAAGCACATACAATTATCAAGAAGAACACATAACTATTAACCCACTCCTCCACCGCTTGGCCCCTTTGATCTGCAAAACCAAACAAAAATTTTCAACCAAAAAGAACTAATTTAACAAAGCAAATACAGTATACAAAAACAGATAGTCAAGTTAGCTTCATTTAGATTAGAGGAAGTCCATTCAAACAACCAAAAGGATATAAATAAAAATATTCAAGAACCAACCTTTTTCAAAGATTGCTGGTTATAGCGTTCAAACCAAAAAACTGAAAGACGGTTACCTGAATTAAATGAAAATTAAAATATAATTAATTTACTCTTAACCATGGTTTTTTTCAAGAATCAGAAAAAACCTAAAAATATCCCAAACAATCCCGATCTCCTGAAACCGAAAGCAAAACCAAATTAACCATCATCACCCAAAATCCGAAGCTACAAACAAAATCCCCAAAATCACAACCAAAAAATTTGAACAAAAAAACCCATTTATAAATCCAAATTTACACTCCCAAGCACATAACATTCAAAGCAGAGAATTACCCACACCAAATCGGCAGCAGGAAACACGATCTTTTATGGGCTTCAAATTTTCTTTAAATCGAGACCACTATTTTTCAGCAAGAGAGCGCTGCCATCCGTAGCCCCCGACAAAAAGATCTGAACAAATTTGACTAACTTGAGTGTTTTCTGGAAGAAAGGAGACACAGAGAGAACTGGAGATCGGAGAGTGAGGCAAAGAGAGGTTCTCTGGAGATCGGAGAGCGAGCGAGGCAAAGAGAGGTTTGAGAGAAACAAAAGGGTCTGTGAGAAACAATAGATCTAAGGATATAAACAAAACACCCAAAATTACAAAAACTAAATTCCAAAAAACATAAAGCAACGCATTTTGAAACGAAAAACACAAATAAATCATCGACCCAACAGCTGATCTAATCATATAAAGAAAATACCCAGAATAAGGAAAGAAAAAAAAAATACTTCCACAAATCCCACCTCAACACGGAAAACTACCAGAAAAAAAAAAATTATTGAAATAATATAATATAATATATATATATATATATATAATTTGTCTTTCAGGGAAAGGAGGAGGATTCTAGGTTGGAGAAAGCAAGGAGCAGGGAGAAAAAGGAGGGTGCCCAAAAAAGCAAAACGATTCTAGGGTTTGATGGAGCCTGTAGCCAGTTGAAGCGGTGGAAAGGATGAACACCGAGTCGAAGAGAAAGAGGGAAGAAGCAGCGTGACCCACGCGTCCCATTTTGCTCTCCGTTTGAGAGCAAAGCAATAGGAAAGGACACAGGCACGCGTGGGCAAAAATTGGAGGGATTGCGAAAAACGATGTGCGGAAGAAAGGAAAGACGTGATGAACAGTCAAGGGAAACTGTTCAAGATGCATGATATTGTGTTTTTTAATAATTTTTTTCTGGTGACAGACGTACTCTCCCATAATCCATGCTCATCTTTTTGTTTCTCTCTCTTTCTTTTTCCCTTTTTCTATTTTTTTTTTGGCAGGTTCCAGATTTTTATTTTTTTAATAATTTTTTAGTGGAAAAGCATGTATCATGCTCATCTTTTGTTTCTCTCTCTTTCTTTTTCCTTTTTTCTATTATTTTTTTTTTTGGCAGGTTCCAGATTTTTATTTTTTTAATAATTTTTTAGTGGAAAAGCATGTATCATTGCTGCCAATTATGTAAGAAAAAAACGCTGGAATCGAGGACGGAGTCTGAATGAAAAAAAAAGATACACAGGATACCAACACATGTGAAACATAGCACCTCGAGGGTCTTTCCAACGTACGAAGCAAGGGAGAGAAACGGAATGGGCAAAATTGCCAATTCATGTAGCATCTTGAAGAAGCCAAAAAACTGTGCGTTAGATTAGGGGCATAACCGGTAGGGAACTGTTAATGAACAGTGCTTTTCCATCGGCTTTTAGTATATATAAAATGTCCATGTGTCCTAAAAAAGGAAGGAAGATTCTCTACTCTCTTATTCTCATTTCCTTCTATTCTTTCATTTCACATATTATTTTTTGTTTTATTATCTTTATAAAAAAATCAATATAAAATGTTGATTTGGTTTAACCGTGATCGTTTAAATAGAAGGAGATAGAAGAGGATAGAAGGGTAGAGAACCTCCTCCCTTAAGAAGGAACTCCTTCACAGTCTCAAGAGCCAAGTCTCTCTCTCTCTCTTTTCTTTTTTCTTTTTAATAACAATATTATCTTAGTTCTACAAGGTGGTATTTCTCTTTATTTGGAAGTGAGCAGTCTTAAGTTTGAATCACGTGTATGGCGAATTCGATACCAAATTAAGTTGTCTATTGTGTGGCTTAGCCGAACTTCCTCTCCTATTAGTGTAAAAATATCGATGTATTAAAAAAATAACAATATTATCTACACTAACTTCATAATGGGTTAGCAATAATGTAATTCAAATTCAGTTTTGGAGAATTGAACCTCAAACCTCTCATTTACATGTGAAGTGGAATACTACTAGATCGTAATATAAAGTGGCAAGTCTCTCTCTTTTAATTTAAGGGTTGATTTTATATTTTCTGCCTCAATTTTTATGGTTTTTTCACTTTGGTCCTCCCAATTTTTTTTGTTCCAAATTGGTCTTTTTTTTTTCTTTTTTTTTTTTTGGGTAATCAAATTGGTCATTTTCTTTTTGTTGGATGCAAACCGGTCCTTAAAACTTCTAAACGTGTGTCTAATTGGATAGAAGAGTAGGTTTCGCTTTAAAATACGATAGAATAACACAAATTATAATTTAAAGGACATTTTGGTAACCCATGTACTTTGACCAACACATGACCACTTATGTCTACAGCTAAGCATTTATTTTGAAAGAACATAAATAAAAAAAATAAAAACAATAGAATGAGGCTTGTAAACTGAAGTTAAGTGGTCACATATTGGCCAATGTAGATGGGTTACCCTGTTTCAAAAGTTAACAACTTTGTTCATCACTTTCATGGTACGTATCACCTTATTTTCACTTGCTTTGTCAGTTTGGTCATTTTGTTTGATTTTGTTAGCATTTTAGTTCAATTTGAAACTTTTCATCTAATTAGCCTCAAATTGCAACTCAAAAATGATTTATAAACTTCTTTGAACCAGCATTTCCAAAATACATCTTTGAGCCAATAAAGCAAACAAATTTCAAGACACAACCCAATCAAATTCAATATTCCATAAGATCAAATTTCAAAACACACCCAACCGAGTTGATATTCAACCAAAAAAAAAAAAAAAAAACCAAATTGATAAAGACTTAAAAGTTGTGTTTCAATAAACGATCTGGCGAATTAAACAGTTCATGAGAACACAAAATTTATCCTAATTTAACCTTTTTTCAGATATCTGGTGTGACATACACTCCAGTGCCACAAGGCAAATTCAACCGCTCATAGACTAGCTATATGTGCCTCATCTGTTGTTGATTGTTTTGAGTAGTTTGAAGTACCACCTGATGTGATCCGCGATGTTCTTCCAGAGCATGGTGCCCTACTGGTTCAAACGCAAAGTCCCCCTCCAATGTAATATTTCCTTTTGCTCTTCCTTTGTTTGCTTTAAATGTTGTACACTTTTTCCTTCACCGGATCTTGTACCATCACAGATTTTCTATGACAAGGTTTTAACAACACCTGCATGTTAATAATGTACGGCACCCTTATGGTGAAAAATAAACAGCTAAGGGAAAACAACACTTCTCCATCGTGGATGCACAATGTTGCGGATCCAATAAGGATTTCGAATTGGAACTATCAAAAGTTTTGTGCAATGAAGATTGTTTTGTTTTTTATTTTTACCATATTCCAAACAACTCTAATTCACCGGGAGGGAGATTCGAACTTAGTGCAAGGTGTGCACATTGTCTTGGCCAACTAGCCTAAAGCACATGTTGTGCGGGGACAACTAAAAACAATATATTTGACGTATACAAGATTAAGAAACATGCAAAGATGGAGATACACACTTTCAAGAATATGCGGTGTAAGAAATGCAACAAGCTAGTTTTGGATATTTGTGAGTGACTGGAGAGAGCTTCAAGCGAAACGAGGTTTTAAGTTATAAGATTTTAGGACAGTTGATTTCTTTCCTCGTTCCCAACCACTTCAGAACTAAGAACTTAACCAAATTAAATAAGCCTACTCTTTGCTTGGCATCAACATTTTATCAAAAATTTTATATGTTCACTTCTTACATACGAAAGGGAAATATGTAGTATACATTCTGTGAGTAACAAAAAAGGACTAATGGCTCAAGTTCAGTTTATGTACCTTGTTCTTCCTTCTTGCATGATTTATCAGTTTCTTCTTCTGCATTTCTTTCAACACTGGGATCAGACCTTAGTCTTTTGCAGGATTCATTCTCATGGGACGAGTCATCACTGTGTCCTGCCTTATGAATGCCTTCCTCTTTGCACTCACTTGAATATGGCATATATTGACAGTCGAGTGCATATTCCTTGATTAATTTCTCCTTTTCCAGATTGATCCCCATTTTCTTCACCCTGAGATGAATATCATCAGTAGTCGCTGGTCCTACAAAGCGTGCACAAACATTTATTTTGTCTCCACCTTTCAGATTGAGCTTTTTGTTTGACAAATGTCCCAGCCAAAGATAATTTTCATTGGAAGTTATTACTACAGTGGCACGCTTTGGAGAGATGAGATATTCAGTGTTCTGGGTACAATTTGCAACATGAATGCGAAGAGAGCGAAGAGAGCCACCAGATTGGGAGTCGTCTGAAGAATAAATGATGCACACAGTCAGTGCTTTTAAATCACAGCCAAAACTTTGGGGCACAACTATTTCACCCTGAGGATCGACAAGAGTAAACCATGATGGAATTTCATTTCCAGGGAGAAAAAGGCCACCAATTCCGCTCGCACTCCATCCCTATACCATGAGAAAGATAGGTAAAAAAAAGGATTACAAGCATGTATGTATACAAGAGAGAGAGAGAGAGAGAGAGAGAGACCTTTAGGATTGCTTCCTTAATATCAGCAGTGAGACTGGTGCACCCTTTCAGATGCAATTCTCTCATCCATGACATTTCCTGAAAGTCGGACCTTTTCCTCAATGCAATGCACTCATCCGCTTCTAGCATTTTTAAATTTGTTGGTGAAGCTTGAATTTCCTGAAGCTTTTTGCAACCTTTGAGTATCAATCTCTCAAGATTTGGGATTTTTGAGAAGTCGGGTAAACTGGTCAGGTCATTGCAGTAACCGAGATTAAGAAACTTCAACTTCTCAGGTGACTGTCAGACAAGAGAGAATGAATATCAAAATTCAAATATAAGAGAGAAAGCATGATGTTGGTATTTACAAAATGTGGAGGAAAGATTTGATACATAGTTTGGTTGAGTTCAATACAGTACCATGTCGGAGTCCTCCCGAACTTGTATCAGGTCGATATCAACTAGGTTTGTTTGATTGAAATCTCCAGGTATGACCTCCACAGGAAAGTCAGTCCAACACAACCATCTTAACTCTTTGGAGAGGTGTTCGCAGTATCCAGTGAACTTTACACCTTTGAGTTTGAGTAATCTCAGTCCCTGCATCCCTCTAAATGCCTCTGTGCTGAAGCTAGGCTTGTGACGATCTGACAAATCTAAAGCGAGTCCCTCAATTTTTGCCGTTCCCTGTTACAAACAAAAAGCAACTAAAATAAGACAAGGATTATTTGCATTTTGCATAGACTTGAACTTCTGCACCACTAGATCTATGACAGAGTTTGCATAGGGCAATTTTCAGATAATTCAGTAAATAAAATCAGTTCTTCTCTTCTCTCTGTTCATTGAACCCACATGCAATCCATCCATTGTATATTATTGTATGATGTGGGATATGCAATTTAATTGGGATTGTACTTACAGATTTGGTGGTCAGTACGTGTTTCACATCTTCATGATCCCACAATCTGCAACGTTTTCCAAGGATGTTTGGAGATTTTGCACGTACAATTTCTCTGCCAGTGTCCCGAATCAAACCATGCATCATCAGATTGCCTTCTTTATCAACAGTTACAAGGCATTGATCCTGGAGTACTCCAATTTTTATTTTTGTATCATGATCATATCGATCCAGTATTTTCATGACATAATCCTTGTTCGCTCCAATAAAGAAACACGATATATCAAGGAATATAGCCTTCACATCATCATCAGTTAACCCATCATAGCCTATCTTAAGATTTTTGTGAATTTCCGAATAAGGCCGTGATCTTTTCAAACTTCCCAATGCACTTTTCCACTCACTTGTGCTTCTTCCGAATAGATAAGAACCTAAAACTTCAAGGGCTAGTGGCAAACCTTGACAGTAATCAACAACTTCTCTTGCGAGTTGAAAATACCCTTCCATAGGACAATTCATAGTAAAGGCACGCCAACTAAGGAGCTCAAGAGCTTCTTCTTCATTCATTGCTGGTAGGTCACACCTCCTATCCACTTTTATTATCTTTAGCAAATGTTTATCTCTTGTGGTTACAATAATTCTACTACCTGGGCCAAATGAGTCGTGTTTTATAGCTAATGCTTCTAACTGTTTCCGGCTGTCTACATCATCAACTATGACAAGTACCCTTAGATTCTTAAGTCTTCCTTCTATCTCCTTGGTCCCTTCATCAACTTTACTAACCTTTAAGTTTCTTAATCTCAACACATCATAAAGAAGCATGTTTTGGGAATTGACCAGTTCCTTTTCTCTCACATTAGCAAGAAAACTTTTACATACAAACTTATCGTGATATTTGTTGAAAATGGCTTTGGCAACCGTCGTTTTACCCAGTCCACCCATACCCCAAATTCCAATTATGCGGACATCATCTGATCCTCCATCGGCCAAATATTTATCAATTTCTTGCACCCGAGAATCTATCCCAACTGGGTTTGGGGCTACGGTCATGTATGTGTTCTTCAGTTTTCTAGCGATCTCATCAACAATTTGCTCGACAAACCTTCCTTCATACCTGGTAGTAAAATTTCCAAAAAAAAAAAAAAAAAATGGAAAAGACCATATTAGTCTTTTCTTTAGTTGTGGCTTTTAGAACAAAATTGTAGAAGACAACACCCCAAAAATATCTAAAAGAGACAAAGTACCAATAGATAAAAGTCTATATATGTGTGCTGCTTGAAAGCAGAAAGAGTGGACGAGTGTGAGTAGAAGAGAACAGAAAACACCAATAGATTGTGCAACGGAAATGGAATCAAGTTAGGACTCTAGTGAAAGAGCATAAATCTGAATTTCATGACGACCAAGCGAGTATTAGAAGAGAACACCACGAGGAGAGTGTGCAAAAGATCAAACCATCACAAAGAAGCGGAGAAAAGCCCTATCTTGCGAAGAGTGATCAGAACTTGTAATCGAAACAGTTCTGAGTCACAGAGATGAAAACACAGGGAGGGACTACTTGAATCAAAGATGATCAAGTAAGATCCTCCATGAGATTAAGTCCTGTCACAAGGATTTCGAAGTAAGATCCGACATGGGACTACTTGAGAAAAAGATGATCTAGAAGAAATACAAGCAGAGATCAAACTTGTACATAGAGAGGGAGGTCTCTCATATATGCCACAAAAATTATTTGTTCAAGTAAGAATGTAGATGAAATGTTTGTTTGCTAAATGCCTTTGAATATTGTTCTGTTTCTTGTATTCCTATCTTTTCCTACTATTTGTCATTCAAATATATGGAAAGTGTGTGAGAAACAAAGGCCTAATCTTCAAAAGCCTAATCATGTATTCTTCACACTACACAACAATGGTGAGATAAAGCCTCAACCTATCTAAAACTCAACAAATCATGACCAAATTCTTATTTTTTTGTTTTTTGGGAGTGAAAAGATTTGAATGTACGGTACGCATGTGCACTACGTTAATCGATGTGATTTAGCTCAATCCGAGCACACTGGTGGTAAGATCAAGCATTGATATATTCCGTTATCGGAGTTTTTAAGCTTTGCATTTAGATGAGTAAAATTAAAGATTATAAGCCTTTACTTGAAATCAATTTACAGTTTATTGACATTTGGTGAACAGAGGTTGGCAATTGAATTGTACAATTAAGGAATTAAAATCGAAAAGGAAGTAAGTACCCGGCAGTTGTACTAAAACTCTCGCCGGCCAACTCTGCAGCTGCAGTAAGAGCATCTTTCCAGGTCGGCACCTTGGAAGGGAAGCTCTGTTCATGTCTCCGAAATGCTTCCTCAAAATCTTGCGTCTGGTGCCTGACATCGGTAGGATCGATATCATAGAAAATTGGCAAAACCATTAGCCCCATTGTTTCTTTGCGGGCCAAGATCTCCACCAGCTCCTCAAGACACCATCTCGACTCAGCATACCCCCTTGAGAAGATGATAGCAGCAAGCCTAGAGTCTTTGATTGCTTGCTTCAGTGCTGGTGTGATAGGTTCGCCTCTGGTCAATTCGTTCTCGTCGAGAAAGACGTTCAATCCATGGCCTTTCAATGTGCAGGCGAGGTGGTCCGTCAAGTTCCTGCGTGTGTCGCCTCTGAAGCTCAAGAACACGTCGTACTTGCCACATTTTGAGGAGGAGGAGGACATCTTCATCAGTTGGCATGCTACTGCAGCAGCAATTCTGACGATACGAACGGCAAATCGGGCATACACCGAAGTCAAGTCAACTCCCCATTGTTTCAAGTCCACAATAGAGTAAGAGCTTTTTGCATCTTTCGGCTGGCAACTTCTTGGCACTTTCTGTTGTGTGGCTCTAGTCTTTTACTTTCCGGTTCTCATTTGATAATGTAACTTCTTTATTGATAAATTAAAAAATTAAAGAATAAATAAATAAATAAAATACTTTACTCTTAATTTTATGTAAGCGAGCAGCTTAATATTGCAGTCTGTTCATATTTTTTGTTCAGTTATAAGTAAGAGGTTTTAGGTTTGAATCTCATAAATAGGCAAATTTTATACTAAATTAGATTATCCATTGTGTAACTTAGCCGAACTTTCTCTCCCCTTAGTGTAAAGTATATCATTGTACTAAAACAAAAAATTTCATGAAAACAATACTATGGAAAGAATGAATCAAACTCGGAACCTTGAGTTCAAATGTGCTTGTTCTTAACAAAATGGGCTACAAAGCCAATTACTAAAAAAATCCACGCATTTATCAAAACATTACGTTTTTTTTTTTAACTTTGAATTTCTGTACAAACTCTTGGCAACCCTCGAGATTGAACTTTGAATTTCTGTATAATGGGATCCAATTGTTCTTGTGATGCATTTGCTTCTTTCACCAAGTATTCAATTTTTTTTTGGGTTTTCATCTCAAATAACCTTTGAAATTGATCAAATCTATTAAGATGGTCTTTGAAATTGATCAAATTAAATATTGCCATGTGGATTAAAAAATATTTAAATAATAAAAAAACAATGTTTTGTCAAAAAAAAAAAAAAAAAAAAAAGGTTCCATCGTCTTCCTCGCGAAGGCTCAGCTGCCATGGCAGCCCTGCTACACCACCTTATCCTCCTACCTACCGCTGCACCCGAGGTCCCGAGGCCTAGATCACCAATAATTCTGACGCGTAGCAGAATATTTCGGAAAACCCCACCTTCCCCATGGGTTCTTTTTGCTTTTGCTGGGAGTGGATGCTTTTGGTGGGGAGGGATGGCATGGCAGCATGCTTGCGCGAAGAAGACCACGGAATTTTTTTTTTTTTTTTTTTGACAATTTTTTTTTTATTATTTAAATATTTTTAATGACTTTTTATTAGCATTCTACAAATTGCTGTTTACGCCTCACATACTGAAAAAAAACTTATACTTACTTTTTAAACTAAACATTATTTTAACACACCACATTTACTTACCCAAATTACCCTCTGACACCACTTTCTATCATACTAGACCATATCTGAAGAGAAACCAATTTCAAAACGAGAAATACAACTCTTAAATTGTGACTCTCCGGAGGCAATGCACTAAGAAGCTACTCATCTCAGGGCCTCCTTAAAACCCTTTCTCTGAGAGAAGCAGCTTCTGGGAAGAAAAATTGAGATTGTCTTTTTTGTATACATGAATGCTCCATTAACATGGTCTAATACATAGTGCTTGCAACAACCCCCAATTTTATCTCACCATTTTTTACAGCACCCCACATATTCAAACACCAAAATTTCCCAAAAATTAAACAGGTTTTTTAATCAACTTGAACAAAACCCGGATGAAATTGTTGGCAAATTTTCAGGGTGATTAGAATAACCCAAAAATCAAAGTGGTGAGCGAAATAAGAATTAGGGCATGTAAGTCATTTCATATTAGAGCATACAAGACATTTGATATTTAAATTTTATATGGAGTGTATTCATCAATATATGAGGTGCCAATAAAACAATCGTTTTTAATCTACGTAGCAATAATTAACTAGATTTGTGGAACCCAATTATGTGCCATATTAGCACATAACATTTTTTTTTTTTTTTTTTTACAAAATTGTGACTGAATGACCACATTGATTTACAATGACCATTTTCAGGGACTACATTGATCGATTTTCAATTTCAGAGATTATTTGTGATAAAAAACCCTTTATTTATTTATTTATTCAAGTGACATTTTAATTTAATCGAAGAAATTGGAGCAATAATCCCTAATTTATGAGTCAATTGAAACAATGATTCTTAAATTAAAAATTCATTAAATTTGGTCCTGAATTTAACAAAATATTGAGCAATGACAGCCTAACTCCGTTTATTTTCCATACATATTCTGATTACGTGGCATGTGCGTGGGACCCACAATGATATTTTTCCATTTTTAATTATATAATTAACCTTCTAAATCCTTTTTGAACAACCCTTCTAAATCTTTTTGAAGAAAAAGAAAATCAACCCAGCAGGCGCTCCATATACAACCATAGCTTCCGCGAAAGAGAAGATCCGGAATGATGAGGCCGATGGCGATGAACTTTTTCGGCGATGAAATCAAACCTCCACTCAGCCAAGTGGGCGCTCCATAGCCATATCCCCCATTTTCGTAATCCTCCCATCAGCCCACCAACCCCACTTGCATGAAAACAAACAAAATCATGAAATATGGTTGTAGTCCTGTAGATTTGTAATGGGTTGGCTGCAGTGCTAGTTGAGGGAGGGGTCTGGCTGGGTTGCAGCCTGCAGTGTTTGGTTGGGGAGAAGCAGGTTGTTGGCAGCTCGTTGGGTTGAGGGAGGACAAGACAGCAGCGAAAAAGGGGATGCGGTGGTGGGTTGTAGGGTATTAACTTGGTTCTCATAATAAAATACAAACTATGTATTTTAATCCACAAGTGTGGGTAGAGCGGATGGAAAGTAAATAGAGTTAGGGTCGAGGACCATTGCTCAACATCATCAGTAGTTGTCAACATGAGTAAGTGTTAAGTCATCAAGAATATATTACTACTTTCATATCAATTTTTTTGTGTTACAATTATCATAATAAAAGGGCGACTATAATTCTCGGGTTCAAATTTTGGTTATTTTATCAAGCTTCCGAGGCTGTGGCGAGCGACGGATAGGAGAGAATCTTCACCTTCACCTCCGAGTGTTAGCGATGGTACCGGAGCCGAGGATTTCAAATGTGGTCAGAAACCCAATTCTGATCAGAGGGATTCGGAAATACTCGAGGTCCAAGATGTACCACAAGCGAGGGCTTTGGGCTATCAAGGTGAAGAACAGTGGCGTTTTCCCCCGCCACGACAACAAGGCTGACGCCGACACCCCGGCAGTCAAGCCCCCCCAAGTTTTACCCAGCCGACGATGTCAAGAAGCCTCTCGTCAACAAGCGCAAGGCGAAGCCCACTGTTGACCTATACTGCCTTACAAAATATGAAATGCCATGTCATCAAAAAAAGGTTGTTAGAATCTGTTAAATAGTTAGGATCTGTTGGGATAAGGTTAGTCCAGTCAGCTAAGAGTGTAGAAGTGTGGTTACTCTTGTATAAAAGAAGAGAATGTGAGAATATGAGAAGTCAGTTAAGCAATCAAAAGAATATTCAGATTTTCCTTAAGATTTTACTGTATCTTCGTTCTTCTTCTTCCTTTCTTTCTTCTCTGTATTTTCTTGGTGGTTGTAATACAACCAATACTGTTAATATGGTATCATCGCCGAGCGTCGATTCTTGGTGATTCTGTCCGCTATGCTAATCTTGGTTCGTTGCTGGTTTGTGTTGCGTTGTTGATTCGAAGTTGGGGTCTTGCAAATTGTCAGGTTGGCTCTTTTATCTGTCTTGGTTTGTATGCATATATGGTGTTTGTGGAAATGTCGCTGAAGGAAACGGGTGAAATTTTATACATGATCGATTGTGAAGGCTATTACTAAGGGTTGAAGTCTGATGAAATATATTGTTGTCTTGAGTTGTTGCTGAGGTATTGTGATAATTGCATGTAAAAAGGCTGATGCCATTGTTGACGATCTGTGAGTTACAGTTGTGAGTTGTGTTGTTTTTTGGAAGAGTTCTTGAAATTTGGGGTTATCTGTTTGATTGAAGAAATTGATTGAGTTGAAGATTGTTAAAGTTGAAGTTTAGAATCTTAATCAAGATGTCGGATAAGGCTGTGAGAATTGAAAGTTTGCTTGGGATGTTGACTGTAAAACTCCAAGATGATAATTTTGTGAAATGGTGTTACCAATTTCAATCTGTGTTACGAGGGTACGATTTCTTTGATTTCTTTACTGGAGAGTCTCAATGTCCACCTAAGTTTGTGATTGATCCTGAAGTGGGTGTTACTAAAGAAATTACTGAGGCTTATAAATCATGGGTTAAACAAGCTATGGCACTGTTGAGTTTGTTGATTGCCACTTTATCTGATGATGCCATGGAGTATGTCATTGGGTGTAAAACTTCTTGTGAAGCTTGGAATTGTTTACAAGAGAGAGGTATGCGTCTATGTCAATGGCCAGAGTTAATCAACTTAAGACTGAATTTCATACACTTTAGAAGGGGGGTGATTCTATAGACAAGTATCTGTTGCGATTGAAGGCAATTAGAGATCAATTAATGTCTACTGGAGAAAGGGTTACAGATAATGATGTAGTTATTGTAGCTCTATCTGGTTTGCCTCCTGAGTTTGAAGTGGTTAAGACTGTCATTTTGGGTAGGGATACACCCATTAATTTGAAGGATTTTCGAGCACAGTTGCTTAGTGCTAAAGCTACTGTTGAGTCCAGAATTACATCTTTAACTGCAGGTATGGCTGCAATGTATGTTCAAGGGGAACACTCCGAGAATTCAGGTGGAAGACATAAGGGGGGATATCAAGGTGATAATTACTCACAATGAGACAGTTCTAACAGTAGTCAGAAAAGTGGAGGTCCTCAAGGGTATCGAGGTAGTTCTAGTTATGGAGGAAATGGGAACAGGTTTCAAAACAGGAACTTTGGGAATTCTTCAAATTTCTATCCTTCGAACAGAAATGGGAACGGCTCCTGGAACAATTCTCGGCCTTACTACAATAACAGACAGAGAGGGGAGACTTTCTTTGGACACTCTTACTCAAATAATGGTTCTCGAAATGGCTGGAATGGCAATACAAATGTTAGTGCTCCGGTAGTAATTGAGTGTCAGATTTGTTCCAAGAGGGGGCATACTGCTCCAAACTGTTTGAGCAGAGGTGATTATGGCTCATCGTCGCAGACTTATCAGATTCTTATATGTCAAATTTGTGGCAAGAAAGGTCATAGTGCACTGGAATGCAGGCACATGACCAATTTTTCTTATCAAGGACCACCACCACCTCC